CACAGTAAAGCCTAACCCTCAAAGAGTGGTAACTCAAATGGTATATATATTTATATATATATATATACTATATTCCAGTCTCCATCTGCGGGCACAGATGGACCGTCGCATGCAGATACGGCACATTTGCGTGCACGCACAAACGTATATACAGCACAGATGGTCTTAGATCCTCGTTCGGGTTTCATCTACCGACCGTTCGAGGCTGTGCTGTGTAGTTTAATGACACACAAACCTATCGGAGAGTGTGTCCAAAGGATGAGAGCAAGGTGTCAACACAACACTTGGGTGGTCCATCTATCCTTTCCTTTCTATGCCTTCCTGTGTACACCACAGTGACGTGCTGCGGTTCTCTCTCTCTCTCTCTCTCTCTCTCTCTCTCTCTCTCTCTCTCTGCCCACATACAGCAAAGAGCCACTTCACTTTCCCAGCTCTGATGACGGAAATGAAACACGCCTGGATCGTTTCATCCAGCAAGAGAGAGTGAGAGAAAAGCGCCGGGATGTCACTCGCGTGCATGCAGCTGCCCTCTTAAAAAACGCGGCTGAGCTTTCGGCTCAGCTTCAGTTTTAGCGCATCTCGCTGCCCAGACAGCTGTCAAACGAATGACATGTTTTACATCCACCGCAATTTGTACATTTTCATCGGCCTAAAATAGCTCATAAAGCCTCTGTATTTTTTTTTTTTTACAGGCGGTTTCATTTCTGGCGTCTTCTTTTCTCGGGGTTGATCCGATGTTGCATCAGAATCATTGCCATGGGATTCCTATTAGGAGGGAGGAGGAAGAGAGTGACAAAAGGAGAGAAATGAAGGATACAGAGCAGGAAGGATAAATGGAGAGGATGGTAAAGAGGCCTGCAGAGAGCGAGAGAGAGAGAGAGAAAAAGAGAGGATGAGATTTGTGAGGAGGAGGAGGGAGGGAGGGAGGGAGGGAGGGCCGAGGGCCAGCGGAGTCAGAGATAAGAGGCTGCGAGAGTGATTGAAATAGGATTAGTGGAGACAGGCTCTGCATCCCCGGCCACAGCATCACAGTGTTAAACCTGTGCTTCACAGGGACTGCCTCTGTCACATCAAAGCCTCCCCAAGCCTGCCTGGCAGAGAGGCGAAGGAGCCACCGGCAGGGTCGTCCGCAGCCACACACACAAACACACACATGCGCCACATACATGAACAGGCTGATCCCGTCCTCCATCCGTCTCCAGTATGCCTCCATTATACGGGCAGGGAGCTGGCTCCTTCCACCTCGCCTTTTCATCTCGCCGCAGTGTCTTTGCGGTGTGCATTTGGACCACAGAAAGGATGCATTGATGAGCCATCTTTAACATTTAATGAGGCTAGCAGTGATGAGTTGGCATTGGAAAGCTACTGTCTCTCTGCTTCCCCAGAGTCCAAACAAAGTTTTAATGAGAACTTTCCCCCAATTTTGTGCCAAAAGCATTGAGCTTTTTAACTGCTTCCCAGACTGAAAGCATACAACATTTTTTTCACTTCAGTTGTGAAGCAGGGGCACACCTGTGTGCAATTAGACAGATATGCATACAGGGACAAGCATACTAGCTAGCATAAATCAATATGATCAATATCTGAAGAAACAATTTTTATTGTCATATACACGAAATTTGCCTTCTGCATTTGACCCATCCCTGTATATAGGGAGCAGTGGGCTGCCAATGATAGGCGCCCGGGGAGTTGGGGGTTCAGTGTCTTGCTCAGGGACACTACAACACGTGACCCGTCCCAGTCGAGGATTGAACCATTGACCCTGCGACAACCCTCTTAACCCAGTGAGCAGGGACACGTGACACATCCCAGTCAAGGATCGAACCGTTGACCCTGTGGTTACCAGACAACCCTCTTAACCCAGTGAGCCACGGTCGCCCATTGTGATGTAAGTTCTGTGGTTTAGTTATCACATTAACACATTACAACGTGTCTCCTCCAGGAGTTTAAGACTGTGCATGTGACAAGAAGCGAAACTTCGGCACCAAGGCGATGCCAGAATTCTGAAAACGTGACGTTACTCGTCTCTCTACCTGCAGGTACGATAGGTACTGCGGATAAGGCTCTAACTAACGGTGTCCCGCCGTCCCCTGTAATGCTTCATTGTAAACAACAAATCTGTGTTGAAATCGACAGAGGAGAGCTAGTTAGCTGTTAGCAGCCGTAGGACAGCATCCTACTGGTCCAGTTTGACTAAATAACGGAGCTAACGGCTAACATACGGAGGTCGCATTGAGTTAGATTACTGCGTTCAAGTTCTATTCAGTCAAAAAAGACTATAGGGGCGAAGGTGATCATGATGTGTTCAAATCTAATCTTGTAAAATGTATGTTTTGCTAGAAACTTGAGGCGAGTCCTCTGGGATTAACAATAAATTCACAAAAAAAGGTAATAAAGGAGTGTATGTTGAAGGACATGGGATTTATTGTTTTTTACCTTGTTCTTAAATTGGGCATCGATAATTCGGGAACTTCACAGTGTAGTTTCACTGGTGTATCGATCGACTTCTGGTATTGTGACATCATTGTTGCTTTATAATTTAGTGAGTAACTTGTATGACCCTATTTGAGTGTTTTGGCTCAGTTAAAAATGTACACAATAGTTGAGATCTTTTTTTTGAAACATCACATTTCTTTAGATTGTCAGTATCTCCGAGTATTAAATTGTATGAATAGTTCCTTGACATAAACAAAATGTTGTTGTCTAGCTTTATTGTGCTATAAAATGATATAAACCATTGCTAAACATTATAGTCGATCGCAAATTCTTACTCGTCGTTCTTCTCTAGTTTGTGAAATACTGCAGTTGCCAACCCAGCTCTGCATGCTCTCTAATCACACAGCACTCACGGTTCCATGTTCGTCTTGTGTACTTCAGCTTGAGAGCGTCTCAATGTGATCAAACGTCCTGCGTTAGTCCTGTTCTGTTGCCGTAGATTATGGATCCCTAAAGCTAAAATGGCCTGTTTATCTGCTGAAGAGAGACAATTCACTGATTGGTGAGTGCTCCCTCTCTGTGTGTGTACATGTGTGTGAGTGTGTGTTTGTGAGCGTACTCACGCGGTACATGTATTTGTGTGTGTGAGAGCTGGTAGTTTTCCTCTAGTAGCTCATCAGTTCATATCCACCACCCACCCCACCGCAGCATGCAGTAAATAGAGTCTCCGCCACTCGTTGAGAAATGGCACAATTATCCCCTGCTGGTGAAATATGGGCCGGGATGCACCACTGCTTCTTCCCTACAGACTGTGTGTGTGTGTGTGTGTGTGTGTGTGTGTGTGCGTGTGCGTGTGTGTGTGTGAACACAGGAAACATCCTTCCCCTCTGCTCACTCATTGTGATGTGCGTTCACCACATGTTCGTTCACCACATAAGTGAGAATTGTTCTCACTTATGTATTTATACACAAACATGTATGCATCACATAATCGCATACGCAAGTTTCATTGTACAAGCGAAGTTCACACACACACACGCATGCAGTATATGCAGACATGCAGATTGGCACACACACACACACACACACACATGCTGTACTGACAGTGCTACAATGCTTCTCACCCTGCACACAATGCAGAATGTTGCAGTTTTAGCTGAGACAAGCAGATAGAATAACTCACTGTCAGTCAGTCAGTAAGGTCAATCTTTCAATTCCAAAAAAATAAAAAAATCATAGCAACCCACTGTGCATGCAGAACTGTGGAGTAAAGGAATGTAAGGCCTTTCCGTTGAGCAGCGAACTACAGCAGTGATGATAATAGTGAGCTTGTGTGAATCATGTCATCCTTTGTGTTCTGCTTCAGGCAAATACTCCAACTTACACATCTTATGTCTCTTATATATGGGAAATATTTCAAAAATATTGCACACTCACCTAATTGAAAACCCAAAAATGATACAGGCATCAATACCACATGCAGTAACACGTAGCCCGGGTAACAAATGGATCAATCCATCAGAGGGCACCAGTAGCTCCTCCCACCATTCATACACATGATGGTCATTGTGCTCTTCCAGCTGTAAAGAAGATATCAAAATACAAAGCTTAAGTAATCAATGGGGGAAGGTTCATGGTGATATCTATTAGCTCATTTTTCTACCCTATCCACCTGTAGTGTCTACAGAATGTAAGGACTTTTACAATACGTTACTTGTAAAGGCCGTTTTTCTCATACTCTGAGACAGAAATCTCCCCTTCAGTAGCTCTTACATACACCACACTTTCCAATTCCATTCCGATCTATATTCTGACGGTTTTCACAGAGGGGTTTGTTCATATATCATTCATAGCCTGATTTATACAACATTTTGTTTCCTAAAAACATGGCGAAAATGGGATTTTTATGGCAGTTTTTTTGATTTATGGTGTGATACAAGGAGGTATCTTAAATTCCACCTGCAAGAACCTTTAACTCAAATATGTCAACAGAATGAAACAAGAATTTTGAATCTGGCTTCATCAAATCTTCAGATTCATAGTAAATCCGAACCTAGCTGTTTGGTTTATTTATAGAAACAAAATACAAGTGACCATGAATAACGTGTTCACTCTTTAAGTGCTAACTAACACCCACAAGATCAGTATGCAACAGAATGAATGAGTGTTATTGTAGCCTCACTGCTGACTGCACTTTTTGCTGACAGTGTAGTCTTCAGATGTAAAAGGAATAAATCTGAACTGAATATGTTGTACTGTACACTAACGACTTCACTTTTAAGAGCGTTCGCTGTGCTTGTGTGCTTTTAGACCTTTTGAAAATGTTCAGTGACTCGCTCAAATGTCAGAGGGCTGCGCATTCATTTGAAGTCAGCCATAAACATAATGTTATTAACCTCGAGTGATTTCTCCGTCCTATGGCTTTTGACATTTGTGCGACTTTGCAAATTGCCAGTTGCAACTAAATGGCACGGGACGGCACTCTTAGTGGACTGCCCCCCCCACCCACACAGTCAAAGGTGTGCAGGTCAAAACCACTCAACTTCATTTCTCTGTCTTTACAGGTATGGAAAAATAGTGTCAACCAAGGCCATCCTGGATAAAAACACCAACCAGTGCAAAGGTAAGTCATTACTTTGTCCGTCTTGTACGCGCTTGTTTTAGTGCGCCAGCCATCACTCTTAAGAGCATGTCTTGTCACGGCGAACAGCAATTCCAGCCGTAAATTTAGACATCAGCCGAGGAAGCCTTGCACCGTAAATCAGTGATTTAGCGAGTAGCTGGCTCAACGCTGCAGGAAGGCTTCGGGTAAACAACCCGCTCTTAGACGTCCCCTCCCTGTCTCCTCTTCCATTTCCTGTGGAACACCCATCATTTTGTGTGTTTTTTGGTCAAAGGTTCATTCACAGTGAATGGTGCGCACATGCAGCGATGACATTAGCGTTCTCGTTTTGAACCTGTTTCTTGTGCACGCAGGCACGCTGCACGCATTTACACGCTTGAACGTCCGCGCATACTCGACCAATTAGAGGGCTAACGAGGTAGCTGGGATTTTATTAACCGTTTACTATCGTTGTCACACTCACCTGCCCGGGGTCTTGGCTCCGGCTTCACTTCAGCCACCGGCCTCGCATTGGCTGTAAATACATTTCACGCGCTTTTTTCTTTTTGTGACCAATCAGTCGGTAATGATCAAGACCAGTCGTCAGTGAAGAAAGAGGGCGAGAGAGAGGGAGAGAGAACGAAGCGATAGCGAGATGAGAAAAAAGAGAAAAAAAGATTAGTGTGCTACTTGCCCCGAGGTGTCTGGCAGCACTGTTTAAGAGCTATTGAAGTTCCATCAATACTTTTAATTGCTTTTTGTGGTTTCCCGGCTCTGAAGTGTGGCCTTTCAAGGTGAAGCTGCCTTCTTAACCCTGCTCCACACCTGAGTTTATCCTGCCAGGCATGCTCAGGGTCAAAATGCTGAGGAAAATAACCTCTAGCCTGTTAGAGGATAGAGAGAGAGAGAGAGAAAAAGAAAAGGTTGATTATCTTGACTGGTCCTTTTCTTTGCGAGTCCTACGGGCTATGAAAGACGAGACTGGATGCATGTTAGTATGAAGGATGTATCTGCAGGTCGAAGGACACAGCACAGGGTGGCTAGGAAAAGATGGGGAAAACAATGTAGAGGAAGGTTAGACTTCTCTAGTCGGTCTCTAAACGCTTCTGTGAGACCGAACACAATCTCCCTGCTTTTTTGAATTTAGGACATGTAAGGGGCATCTTACAGGTAGGTTTGCATCTAAAACTCCCCAGACGTTTGCTCGGTGGAGATCTCAGTCGGTCTGGTATCGCGTGACTACGGTGAGGTAAACCGCTTCCAATTTCTGCGATGAAAGAAATGCACTGTGCTCGCTCCCAGGTTATGCCTTTGACTCGAGTTAAAAATCAGCTCGGCTTAGCACTGTGTGGTGTGGGAGACAATGTTTCCCATAAGTCACCCTCCTGGAATGCAGCGCTGCAGAGAGGCCAAAAAGCAAACATAAGCAGACGTATTTTATGACTGGAAAGGATGGTCCTGCTCTGCATTCAGCGGGAGGAGGAGGTGTCTACAAAGAGTGTGAGGAGAAGGACTCGGTAACCTTGAAGAGAAAAATACAGTCCTACAGCGTTTGACAGAAAGGTTGAAGGAGAAGCGAAACGGCACGAAAACAACATTCCCACATTTGCCACAACTCTGCATCTCTCCCCCACACGTATCTCACTATCTCGTGAGAGGTGAGCCGGTATCAGAGCATTAACGAGGCACGCAGGTGCATTGAAGCCCGGTGGGCCGGCGTGCGTCCGCGCTCCCGGTAACAAAGCGAAGATCGACACATCGCCCTGATGTAGTCACGCATTGTTTCCAGTCATTTGACCCCCGGCGACCCTGATACTTGTTTAAATGTCAGGGCCGGCGGCTTATTGCTGCCGCGCCGCCGTCACACGGGCGAGCATCCCTCTCCTCCCGCTCCACCTCCTCGCCTCCCCCTTGTGTTATTTGCGTTTTGCTTCAGTTCAGTGAGCGCGCCGCCGTAAACAACGTGAGAGGAATGGGATAGAGAAGAGGTCAGGACCAGTCATCTCCGCCACAGAGAGAGATCGGCAATCAGCCCGTCGAACAAAAAAGAAGAGGGGATCATGTCTTCTACTCGCTGTTTCTCTGCTTGATTGTCGAAGTTTTTAGACATCTAGATCCCATATGGATCTAGTGCCGCTAGATGACTATATTTCAACATCTAGCAGGCTCAGCTTGAGGCAGATTTTACGGGAGCTCCTTGTCATATTTCTTGGGAAAAGCTTTACAAAAGTGGTTTGATTGTTGACATAAACTATAGAGCTAGTGAACAGGTTTACCAGTTAGATGCCACCACAGCTTGTTTACTGGAGCCTACAACTAAAATCGTTATATAGCGACTGCAGGGATTCGTATGTGTACACTCGTGTGCCCTCACACACTCTGTACCCACAGGCCTTTAGCCATTCTGTTGCTAGGGCAACAGCTTTGGTCCACTTCCTGGCAGCTTCTGTATCAACAAACAACACAACAGGAAATACAAATGTTTACAATGTTCATGCTGTCAAGTCTGAACAGGTCCTCGTGCTTTGTATGATATTATTTCCCTTTACTTAAAGTTCGTGAATGTTAAATGCAGACGGCTGCTTTTCCACAGCAGGCGTTCTGTTGGTCGGGTCGATATAAAACGTCTATAAAAAGATGACATTGAATGTGAGAGAGATGATGGGAAGGCGGACCGCTGATGATATGTGAGATGGAATAGTGAGCGTGGGAGCGTTGAAAAGCAGAAAAACAGTGATGACGCTCTCTGTACTTACAGGTCAGATGTTAGGGAAATGCGTATCTTAGTGTGCGCCTAAACATGAGCCAACACACGTATGGCGCCAACACACGTATGGCGCCCACGCGCGAACATGAACACCCACACACACACACACACGCTTTCTCCCCACTATACATCCATCTATACGTTTGCCCCCTCAGTGGACGAGTGTGTTTGAAGTACCACATCGCAAAAAAAAAAAATAACGACACACCAAGACCATGTAATACACCTCTGCCACGCACTCGAACACAAAGGGCGCACAAAGACTGATCGTACCCCCCCACCCCCAATCCGTCTGCCCGAGGTGTGTTGGGCTCCTGCAGCAGTGGCCACGCAACAGATCCATCAATCCTCTTCCTAACATCACAGCATGTGTGCCTGCCTGCCTGTCTGCCTTTTCTGGCTGCTCTCCTCCACCACCGCACCACGCAGGCCTTTCAATAAGCCTCGCTATCTTCCCAGCGCTGACTCACTCCCTCGCTCCCTGCCTTACTCTATGACACACACACACACACACACACACATTTGTACTTTTGCAAGGGTACACAACAGTCCCATACACACCGTGCATGCCCATAAATGCACACACATGCTTTGGATGTAGCCCAGCTCAGAGAGAAATGCTAACAGGAAGTTGTGAAAGGGCCTTAGGGCTGTCGAGCGCTGTGGGTAAGAGGAGGCATTCAGCTCTTCATCTCTCTCTGTTTTGCTCTCATTGCTCCTCCGCACTCTCACACCGCTCCTCCTTCCCCTGTTTTGTCTCTTTTACTTTTCTCCCTCGATCTCATACACTGTCTGTCTATATTATCCTTCCCTGCACTTTCATGGTTACTGTAGAAATGCAGCAGAGATTTGGGGGGGGGGGGGGGGTTTGCATCACAGACAGAGGGAAAAAGGGATGGATTGCGGGAACCCAAAACTGCGCGTTTGCCATCCGTGCCCACAAGTACCTCTTAAAAGGCAGCGGCTGCGTTTGAAATGAAGCAGGGCCAACCGAATGGAGACGTTTTAGTTTTTTCCTGCCAGAGCCCGGAGGCAGAGGAAATGACCTCAGCCCTCCGAAGGACCTCCGTTTCCCCCCTCCGCCGCCGGGAGATAAGGCTGCCTCGAGATTCACCGGCCTGACTGGCGCTCTGCCGCGACGGACCACCGCACTGACCGGTGGCAGACAGATGAGATGAGAAGATAGTCCCTCGTGGCCGTGTGTTTCGGCAGTTTGCTGTTGTCTTTTCTTTCTTCGCCCTGTAACACGCCATCCATTTTTCTATGAGGATGTTTATAAAACTCACAAGGGCATTACATAAACCTGCATCTTGAAAGAATCACTGTCGCCTTTACTCCATTATGTGGGTGACTTGATGTGAAACAGGCCGACTTCCTATTTGGTCCCAGGAAGTCCAATCACGTTTGAAGTGTCTAAACAATTGGTTGCATACATTAAAGTGATAAAGTGTTTGGTTTAATAAAAATGTAGTTTTCTAATGTAGCAGAGCGTCTTTGCATACTGTTCCTGAAAACTCTTTTGAATACTGAATCACCGTTTGCCGAGCTGGGCTGGCTGCAATTTAACAGCCTGTCAGAAGCTTGACCATTACAATGCGAAGCATCCAACGCCCTTACCAGAGCGTCAGCCTAATGGAGAAATATCGGCAATGTTACATTCTATAAAAAGGTGACGCTCTCCAAAAAGACCTGTTTTTCATTGTCACGTCCATGTGTATCTGTGTGTTTGGGTTGGGGTGGGAAAGAGGGGGAGGGAGTGGAGTGGGGGAGGCAGAAAAGGCAGAGAGTGCTTTTTGCATCCGTTATTGGTTTCTCATTAGAGGGCTGAGATATAAACATTTGTCTATGTTGTACACGGTGCCGGCGCAATTAAGGATTCTCTTTGCCGCCCCCTCTGCCCTTTGAAAGTGAATTATGTGCAGATGAGAATCTCGACTGAAATGTGGCCAACAGCAGACCTTCTCCAAATGCCTCAGCTCCCTGAAAGCCCGTTCCAGAAAGAGGCGAGAGCGGCCGGGGAGCGAGGGAGAGGGAGCGCGTGCCGTTTTCCTGCTTTGCATTGCGTATTAATGACTCTAATTAGCAATAGCTGAGGGATAATCACATTGATTTGGACAGATTCAGCATGCGGCGCCTCACTGGATAACGCCCGCAGCCTTTGTTAGCATCACATGCACAAACAAACGCACACACACAAAAAAAAAATCCCTTTTCTCTCCCCCCCTTGTCTCCCCTACACCCTCCCCCCTCTGTC